TATTTAAAAAATATATATATATATATATCAGACACTTTTGACAGTTCAGGTGAAGGCTGAAATGACAGACAAAACTATCCGGTCAAATCAGGTCAATAAAATTTTTTTTTCAACTAATAAGAAGACAAGGTGACCGTCATAGCGTAACCCATCAGCATGTTTTTCTCCAATCTAAAAACCTCAACTACACCGTTAGTGCCTCCAGCGGACGAGTCAACTAGAGCCCATCTTCGACACCACAACACAAGCCTCTTTGCCTGTCTCGGAAGGCAATTTTGATGCATGTTTATTCCTATATAAGGTTTTATCATTAAAGATTTAAGTAAATACGTGTAGTGTTGTAATCTTTGTCTTAAATATCCATCCATCCATCCATTTTCTGGCCCGCTTTATCCTCACAAAGGTCGCGGGAGGTGCTGGAGCCTATCCCAGATGTCATCGGGCAGTAGGCGGGGGACACCCTGAACTGGTTGCCAGCCAATAACAGGGTACACAGAAACAAACAACCATTCGCACTCACACTCACACCTAGGGACAATTTGGAGTGTTCAATCAGCCTGCCATGCATGTTTTTGGAATGTGGGAGGAAACCGGAATACCCGGAGAAAAAACACGCAGGTCCGTGGAGAACATGCTAACTCCACACAGGGAGGCCGGAGCTGGAATTGAACCCGGTACCTCTGCACTGTGAGGTCGACACGCTAACCACTGGATCGCCAAGCCGCCCTGTCTTCAATATATAAAGTAACAATGCTGTTTACATATTTTCAACATTTTGGTACCTGTGATGTTTCTTGCTTGCAATAACTTCAAAGATCAGACAGACAACGACATGTAACTGGTCTGTTGCCGTGTTTCTGCAGCAGCCTCAGCTCTAGGTTGTGTTTGCTGGGAAAAGTCTTTTTCATGATGCTACATCTGCATCAAATACTGTTTCGATGCTTTTCCGGGCCCACTTGGGTAAGGCTTAACCGTTTTTGAAATTGCATTGGCCTCATCTGTGGAACAATACACACGTGCGGTTTGACTTCTACTGCGGCATGTGAGTGTGATGCAGAGGAGCATACTGCAGACCACGTGTCAACATCTTGCCCCATTTATTGTCATCCTAATGGGGCTCGTGGTCTGCCAACTGTGGAAGAGAATCTGGTCAATTGGCTGGGAAACACATGCCCAGAAATATGGTGGGTTTGGATCCTCATACAACTGCAAAATCCAAACCCAAACAAAGAAGAAGACTGTATCAATACAGGGATGCAGCATATCATTGTCTATTGATGTATCGATTCTTTTGTCCTGTGAGTGGTGTGTTTATTCTTTTGTTACCCTAAAATACAATATAATATCATACATTCATACAGTGGAAAGAAAAGAATTGGAAAATAAAATCACTTTTTATTTACAAAATTTATACTTGAATAAAATAGATCATTTGTGTTTTATTCTATTCTTTACTACTACCAAGGTAGCGCTCAAATTCCAAAACTCCAGCGTTGCTAAATTCATTCCCAAAGCTGTATTTGAGAAAATAGAGTGGCAATGCAAAGGTTAAGGTCTAAAAATAGTCACCCTTTCTGAAAAGGTTGGATGTCATTGTTTTAGTCGCCCCCCCCTCTGTCTTCACCTGAATCTGTGAAAGCAGGAATTTAGCTTAGGTAGCTAGCCACTGCAGATATGCTCGTGACTTCTGATTTTCTGTTGGAATGGAGACAAGAAATTCACTGTTGCTGGTTGTGTGAGGCATTGTTGTTGTGAAACTACCTGTAACTTTTTCTTTCTTCTCTCCACAAACAGTCTGGGATGAGACTTGTAGCCTGTTGAGCTCAACAATGTCTCAATCCGGAGTAAAGATGGAAGTTATATTTAGAAACGATGAGGAGAAGAGCAGCAGCTGCGATGTAAGATATCTGAAAATGGAAACTGCTCCCGGGAGGTGACATCACTTATTCCCACTGCTTTCTTTCTTTATTTTTTCCCCCTTTTAGTATACAGGCGAAAGCATATGTGGGCCAAAGATCACGCTTTGGGTAATGACTGCCGAGGCCACTTGCTGCTCCCTTGCTCATCAACGTGTCCAATGCGGCGAGATCTGCTCAGCTTATCCTTAGTTACCATGGCATGACATGGCTTTTTCACTGCCTCAGTGCACACATGTAAAAGGCGTGCCATCACAACAAGTCATCAAGCCTTTGTGCTTTTGGTGGTGAATCAAAATAACCACAATTGCACCTGGCAAAGCCAAGTTTGAACCATCAACAGAAAAGATTTGTGTCCATCGGTAGGCGCACCACTTTCTGAAAATGTCGGTCTATTCTAAAAGAACACGTGGTCATATCATTCTTGATTCTACAGTCGCAGGCTACTTTCTGTTTCATGGCAAATTATGACATATGGATCTAAGTTGAGTATTTTTACCCACCTTTCAAAGCTTGAAATGATCAGTTATCAGAAGATTATCTTGAACAATTATCCCTTTAAATGAACAAATTCCCACCAAGAAAATAAAATGGTGTTTCCACTGACTGATGTGCATCCAAAGGACACACACGTTGGTGTTTTTTCAAGAAACATCTTGTTCCCAAGAACTGAGAAGTGCAATCACAGGTGAGAAATCATTTCCTTCGTTCACAACTAGGCCACCTAAGCCACCAAGTGTTTGGACGTCGAATAAAGTGATTAGTTCTGCTATCATGGGAAAAGACTAGAGGTCAGAAGACTAATTATTAAACACGGTAGTGGTTACCTTTTACCAGTAGGGATACGTGCTGGCGAGGTAGTGTCTATCCCCCCCCCCCGCCCCCCCTCCAAAAAAAAAAAAAAAAAAAAAAAGAAAAAAGCAAATGCCATGAAAGGCTTGCAGTCCTGGTGGAATGTGTCTGATTTACCTGTTCCTCGGAGGGGCTGAGAACATCACTGTTCTCATTAGAAACTGCTTCTAAGCTGTCTCATAGCAACCTAAAAATAGAAATGTCCCTATTAGGCTCTATGGCTGTGATGGCTGCTACAAGTTTTGGCCTCTTTAATGGTGCAGTAAACACATACGGCGTAAAATATTTTTCACTTGTTCCAGTGATCATCAAGTGGTAAATGTTGATTGATGGGAACTTCATTTGGTTCATGGCCGGTGTTATGGGTGCATTCAGGATGCAAGACTGTAATAATAGCGCTTAGGCAAAGAGAATTATTCATCCATTATCAACTTTGGAAGAGAGGCAGGATACACCTTGGATGGACTAGTCGCCAATTAATTGGATGTTGGCCGAGTAAATGTCTTAAATAAATAAAACCTTTAAATACTTGGAAACAGGAGTGCTATAAGGAGGGAGAGTGATTGTGATTATAAGGGTCCAAATTGTTTTTAAACACAAAATCACAGGCAGCACTCCTGCTTGGAAATGCAACCCCCCCCCCCCCACCACCCCCAAAAAAATCTGTATAGCATTGACCCTGGCTATTACAGGGATAAGGACTAAGGCACCCTAATTGACCTCATTGTAAATGTAATTAAAATAAATAAATAAATATTCCACCCCACTATATATATATATATATATATATATTGGAAAACATCCAATCAGTGTTTTTGGCAAAATTTTAATTTGGCTCTCCAGAAACAAACAAACAAATATATTAATATATATAAGTACAAAGTATTTTTAAAATATTTTTAAAATATTGAACAAAAATCAGCGATGAGTTGAATCCGCGGGTTCTGGACTGCGGGATCCACTCTACATTACTTACTTTCTTCCCTCCCTTCGTGATTTAAGTCAAAGTAAATGCAAGAGCAGCATGTTATGAATTGAGGGTTTTCATGGTTGTGGTTGCAAACAAGATGGACCCAACTGCAGGTGGACTCAAAAAGACAAAGTGATAAAAAGTACTTATTTCAAAATAATTTTAATAAAAATAAGCAAATAAGACACATAGAATCAGAACCACTCAATTAACAGAAGTCCAAAAAACAAGCTACAGAGTAGCCTAACTGGGATCAGACTCACCATAACTGGGAACAAGACCAGACAAAAACAGAAGCAACCAAACAATGAATTGACAAAGACTGATATAAACCAGGGAACTAAATAAAAGCAAACTGACGAGACAACGAGAAACACAAGACACACGCGGTTGAATTTGGAGGGAGTTGATTAGTTTCCACAAGGGAACGTGCTGCTGACAAGAACAGGCGGAAACAAAACCTAACGAGCAAGACATGCAAAAGACACACAAGACGCAACAGGAACAACTAAACGTAATCTAAACAATAATAATCAGATCATTGCACATAAATTACAAATGATTTAAATCTACTCTAAACAAGAAGGAAATTGAATGACTCTTTATATTTAAGATGGTTCATTATTATCGACAAATTAATGACCGGTTATTCTGCCTACAGTGATGGTGAGTGGTGTCTCTGAAACTATAAGTTACTAAAAATGGCACCATGTCCTTTAAGGGGCTCCATTATACTGCACTAACCGCATTGAAGCGTTTGATTATTCCATTGTACTGATGAGAACGAGAGCCTCTAAGTGTTGTTAAAGAAAGACTGTATAGAGCCAGAATGCTGCTATATTTAAACGTAGCTGACACGCGGGAGCGCGCGCGCGCACACGCACACGCACACGCGCGCACACACACACACACACACACACACACACGCACACACACAACACACACACACACACACACACACACACACACACACACACACACACACACACACACACACACACACGCATCCACGCACGCACGCACACGCATTCAAAAGAATGATATGTCACGAAATGATTTTTGGTCAGAACCTAATTTATTTTGTAAACTATATCATCCATTCTTTCATTTACAAATCTCCTTACTCTTTCTCACTACAGAATAAAATGCTCGCACTGAGCATTTCCATGTCAACACTACATCTGCGCGTGCGTGTGTGTGTGTGTGTGTGTGTGTGTGTGCGCGCGCGCGCGCGCGCACGTGCGCGCACAGAGGTTCTCGTCAGACGCACGTTTATTTTGGGGTCGCTCTGACGTCAAGAGCGCACACGTTTCATTCAACAGGCAAAGAAAGTAAGTTATTTATAACCCGCAGCGTCTCCAGGTTGCGCTCCATGAGTGCGCACCGAGAAGAATCCAAAGCATCCTCCTCGTCAGGACTCACGCGTCTGAGAACAACAACAACAAAAAAAAAAAAAAAGCCACGATCAGGTGCGCTCATGTGCGTCCTACTTTATCACCACCGACACTCGGCGCCCCGGCTGTAACCGAGGCGGGGTGTGGATGGCTCACAAATAGGCAGAAAAAAATAATCCTCCGTGAACTTTCTGTTTTGAATCGAGCCATTATCTCCTCATTTTTCATCCTGCCGTGACGCAGCGAGGCTACTTAAGAGCATGGGAATCTTGTCTTCTGACCAGGTAAGAGCAATCTACTACTGTATTATCTTGAGAAATTGAGTGTTAACATAGGCAAAGTAACTAATTTACCATTGGGCGTGTCATCAACATCTAAATGAAAACTCCTTCATATTCCACCAGGCAATAACCACTCATTGGTTAATAACACAAGATTAGCTCTATAAACAGATGCCTGATGGGATGGAGCGCGTAGGTTTTGTTGCCAACTACAAACAGAAGCATTCTTATTTGATTTGATGATTTTTTTTTTATGATTTAATATTTTACTGTTATACTGTTATAGTGATAGAATCAGATAAGGTGGCATCATCATTACGTTCGTGGGTCTTATCGATACCGCCCCAATGGAGAGACACAACCAAAAGAACCAAGTTCACACTTTGAAATTGGCTGCATTTGTGTTTTGGATCGTCCGTCGTCTTTCATCGTCGTAATACTGTGACAGACTGCCATCTGCTGGTGTTTCTTCAGAACAACACTTTTTTTAATGTTCATATTATTATATTATTTTATATTTCGTGTGTTTCACCCCTCCCCCAACTCCCAAAAAAGCTGTAAAGTCCACACGGGGAAAATCTGAGCGATGGCTGACATTCTGGAGCTGCGCACGGATGGGAACTCGCTCCTGAAAGCGGTGTGGCTCCGACGCTTGAGGCTCACCAGACTCCTCCTGGAGGGCGGCGCGTACATCAATGAGAGCAATGAACGCGGCGAGACGCCTCTCATGGTGGCCTGTATGTCGACGCACAGCGACCAGCAAAGCGTCAGCAAGTCTAAGCTAGTCAAATATTTGCTGGACAACCAAGCTGACCCAAACATACAAGACAAAGGAGGCCGGACCGCCCTGATGCACGCCTGCATCCACAAGGCGGGACATGAAGTAGTGACCCATCTACTGAGCAACGGGGCTGATCCCAGCCTGGAGGACAGGGGGGGAGCCTCTGCACTGGTTTATGCCATCAACGCAGATGAAAAGCAAACACTCAAGTTGCTTCTGGATGCTTGCAAGGCCAAAGGCAAAGAGGTTATCATTATCACCACCGATAAGTCACCATCTGGCACCAAAACCACCAAACAGTACCTAAATGTTCCTCCGTCTCCAGAGCTGGTTGAAAAGTCCTCCCCGGCATACTGCACCTCACCTTCTGACATCGACATCACTGCATCTCCAATGATTGAGCAAGAGCAACAAAATTCCGTCTTCAGCTTCCAGACTAAGCTGAAAACATCCTGCTCGGCAAACAAACTGGCCAATGGGCCCACGTCGCCCACACGGCGGCCGACCGGCCACAAGCGAGCGCGTTTACCTCAGCTGAAGCGTCTGCAGTCGGAGCCGTGGGGGCTGATAGCGCCCTCCGTGCTGGCCGAACGGGCGAACAGCCACAACGAAAGCAAGAAGGCCAGCTCGGATGAGGACATGGTGGCAGGTTTGAACGGCCTGACCCTGAGCAAAAGGGCCACTTTGTCTCGGCAGAACAGCATGGATGGCAAAGAAAGCACTTTCCCGCCGGTGGGCGAGCAAGGCTGCAAAATGACAACCTCGCTGTCGGTTCCCCCGACCACTAAAGCAGCCTATGAAAGATCGCTGGGCACGCACCAGCCTTTGGCACGACGCAGCACCGTGCCGACCGAGCAGGAGGGCGCCAGCGTTGGGCACCCCGCTCTCAGAGACACCATGCACAAGAGGAGACTCGGGAATGACCACTATGACTCAGACTCCCAGCTCTACTCCGACTCTGTCATGCTGGACTCCCCAAAGGTGCCACTGGAGCGAAGGAAACTGAACACCTCCCCTCTGGCCTTGTTGACCAGCTCCAGAGAGTCCCTAGACAGCAACGCCAGTACATCCTCACCGTGCACCATCCGCTGGCGTCCGCCGGGGCTCTTGGAGAGGAGAGGCTCTGGCACCCTTCTTCTCGATCACATCTGCCACACCAGGCCGGGCCAGCTGCCCCCTCTCAATGTCAACCCCAACCCTTACATTCCTGACGTTGGTGCCAGTAGCAAGCCATCCTCGCCTTTGGCCGGCGGCATTCGATGCTTAGCGCCAGTAGCACCAAACACACCAAAGAGGGGTGGGCTGAAGTGCAAGAAGAAGCTTGTGAGAAGACATTCTATGCAAGTGGAGCAAATGAAGCAGCTGTCTGATTTTGAGGAGCTAGCTCATTAGTGGCTAGGGGTGTTTATGCAGCATTTTTAGTGTTAACTGCCTACATTGTCAGCAAGTACTGTACAACCATGAGTTCCGTCGTGTAAACTCACAGGCGTATAGATGTTGAATAACGAACTGGAAAGCGAAGTTACAACTGAGCAATATAGCTGGATTTCCTCCTTGTGCCGCTTCCCACCTTGAGGATTATCTTTTGACACCATGTCTGCTTTCAATGTATTACCGTTTTGAATGTAAATGACAAGTTGTGACACATCCACACACACACACACACACACACACACACACACACACACACACACACACCCACCCACAAACGAAGGGTCTCTCCTATATGGTGACGTATATGCAGGAACAGTTCTTGATCCGTTTGTAGCCAACGGGCCACTTGGGTGCACTTTGTGCATTTGCAATTAGCACTAGTTTGCTCTGGAGTCGAGATGTAGCGTTGGGTAAGAAGTTTGACTGTTTGTAGCAAAATTGTGCAAAGTGCCTTCAAGAATAATTGAAGACTGGGGCGGAGAGAGTGGCGAGATACATTTGATGTATTAAAAACCGACTTACAACAAATACGGATGTAACCAAAATGTGTTTTCCTTTCATCAATATTGTTGGCCTCACATCGAGTGAATAACATGCCTTAAAAAAAGCTGGTCAAGTGATATGTTCTGTGGTACTTTTCTGCGGAGGAGGTAGAAAACGGGGACAAATGTTTGTCATTGCAACAATGTTGCACGCATTTAATTTCCGCAATGTTTAAAGCCGCATTGGTAATAAATTGGTGATCAAATGTCCTAAGGCAATCAAATTTAAGATACAAACTTCCATAATGTCAGCACCTCTGTTTAAAATAAACATTTACAACAAAATAATCCATTGTATTTTTTTCCACATCGTTTATTGTACATTCAGAAAATATATCTCTCGAGAATGTCTGATTTATTTATATATTTATATATTTATTCATCCATCCATGAAGTAAGAACATTTGCAGAGTTTATCCCCAATTAGAAAGATTTCCTTGACCCACTTGTAAATATTCTTTGAAGGCCAAATCGCCATAAATAGAAAGGGTAATTCGTGTAAAACTTCAAACACAACGGCTTCACAAGTGGACAGTACAGTAGTCCTTTGTTTTGTTTTGATGCCTCCAGAGAGGAATAACCTGTACTGGGTGTAATGTGTTTATGTAGTGACGCCTAGTGGACGAAATTACACATTGATATAGAGTCTCCTTTTTGCTTTGAAACGGGGGTTTTCCTATGGGACACGAACAGATGAGAAATTGATGACTATCCTTTGTAATCAAAATTAGGACACTTATCCTGAACAGGGTCGCCAGGGGGTGCTGGAGCCTATCTCAGGTGACTTCGGTCGTCAGGTGGACGACAGTACACCCTGAAGTGGTCAAAAGTCAGTCGCAGGGCATGTATAGGGATGAAGAAACATTTACAGCCCACACTGCCCATTCACAAGTCAGGTGAGCCACTACACCAGCAGCAACAGTTTTTGTACCCTTCATAAAATATTGCGTGTGTAATACAGTACTGTGCATTCTGTATGGGTTTAATATTATTTGTTTTTATCTTCATTGTAGTATGTTTTTTCTCAAGTTCATTCTTGTTAAATGTAATGGTGTCACCTTTTTAAGAAGAGGTATAGCTTTTCATGATTTATTTTTTTAAACTCACTTTTATTCATTTCATTTTTCATTGATTAATTATTTAGATCTGAAGAATCAGACAAAGTGAATTCCCCGTTAATATAAAAATTGTTTTCTAAACTTGAATTACAGTCTGTTTTCTTCTGTCATCAGTTCATATTAAATATAATGAACATAAATGTCATGGATTATAATGAAGCCTAGAATTAAAGCTATTAATTCAATTAAACCAGACTTGATCTTAGTTTTACTGTTTGGTGCTTTTTACCGTCTTTGTTATTGATTTATTGTTTTATTGTTGTATATATAGTTGCTCCATGTACAGCACTATGTATACAGCGATGGCTATGGTTTTAAAGTGCTCTATAAATACAGTTGAGTTGAGTTGAGTAAATCCTAAATTTCAGGCTATTAAGGCTACTGGAAGGAACGTTTGATAATGTCTATGTACATCTTTAAAAATTAGCAGGCATATTTGCCAGTAAATAATTATAGAATGTCAAAAAGGATTAAAATAACTCATCTTGATTTGAATTGACCTAAATAGCATTTTGAGAAGATAGTAAAAATGTTACGAAATATCAGCTGTAAAAGAAAAGCACTTTGGTATTTTAATGCCTTCCTTTCTGGGTATATTGAATTGAGATTTGTCCTGTCGACAAACTTAGAAAGTAAATGTGACAATATTTTTCTCTTCGTCCTTTTTAAGTTTCCAGAGCAATCGTGCTTCGCAACCAAACTTTTGCTCAGCCAATCAAAAATCCATAGCCGGATACAAGTACAGTGATACCTCAGTTTACGAACATAATTGGTTCCGAGAAAGTGTGTGTAAGGCGAAAAGTTCTTATTCCGAACATTTTTTTCCCATAAGAAACCATTAAAATGAGAATAATCCGTTCCTAGGTCCACATAAAAAATAATTTTCGACTAAATAAGCCTTAAAACTGCACAAAAATATACCTTATTTTATGTATAATGAATGTGCAATTGTATTGTAATTAAAGAAACACTGTACACACTGTACTGTATAATAAAGTCATTTTATTTTCCTTTGTGACGGTATTTAATGGGTTAATGGATGACGAACTTCCAGGGTGCCTCTTGATGATATCCGAGTGAAGTTGCCGTGCTTTCTCGGCGATAATACCCTCACTCACACTGTCCCCTGCTAGCTGCTTTTCATTTATCCAAATTAACAGAAGTTTTTCAACCTCTTCTATTGCCTGAGACCGTTGCTTAGACAACACAGAAACACCCTTAGCCACACACGCACCCTTAATAGCTCCCTTGTTCTTAAGGATGGAAGCAATGGTAGACTTAGCTAATTGATACTGTGATGCTAAGTCACGCAAACGCACACCTCGTTCGTGTTTTTCGATCATGTCCTTTTTCTGCTCGATCGTAATTTTCGTCTTCTTCGGCTTAACACAAACCTGTGGTGGGGTCTTTTTCGGTCCCATAATCGCAAACGTGCACTCAATATGGTCCAAAATGTCGCTCAAACAAATCACGTCCTCACTCGAAGAAAGGGGGTGACGAACTGGGACGCCGAAGAGCGTGCGTCAGCTTCTAGTGGCCGCCACCGTGGCACTGCTCGATCGCGTGGTGGGTTCGTCCGCCGAAAACTAGTTCGTCCACCGAGACTATATGCTCGCGAATTTAATGTTTGTGAGGCGAAAAGTTCGGAAGTGGAAGCATTCGTAAACCGAGGTATCACTGTACCGCCTATCTTCAAATATTTTGTATTCAGACGAAGTCGTGTAACACAACGTGAATGTTTTTCAGTCACACTTTTCTGTCAGTTACTGTTTTATCAGGTGGTTATGTAAACAGAACTATTAATGACTCATGCGGTGTGTCCTCACGACACAACGACCAAAGCGAGTTTATACAGATAGCCTGTAGTGATTTATTTTATCCACTAGGTGACGCTACTAACCACTAGATAGACTGTGGAACGTGCAACACAAACTAGATGCCATATCCTTGACCCATCGCAAAAAGAAGCGAATGCCGAGCTATTGAGAAGCTGTTTTTTTTTTTTTTTTTTTTTTTTATCACACTGTGTACTATGACCTGTCTGTGTCAGGTGACTAATTCCACCTATCACAGCAAAGTCTGGAATTGAACCGAAAATCATGAAATAACCTTTCATGCCAGCAGGGGGAGGAGAAGCAATACAAATACAGGTACAGGCAAAACTCACCCAGAACGCAAGATAACACTAACGTATACCCGCCGCCCCCACTCCCGCACCCAAATCATTTCTTTAAAAACAATCATTTACAGCAGCGAGGTGTTGTCTAAAGTTCAAACCAACGGTGGTAGATTGAATTATTCATACAGTATACTGTTTGAGTGTGCCTTGCGATTGGCCGGCAACCAATTCAGGGTGTCCCCCCCTCCTACTGCCCGAAGAAAGCTGGGATAGGCTCCAGCACGCCCACAACCCTCGTGAGAATAAGCAGTTCAGATAACGGATGGATGGATGGTACTGTATCTCTCTGTATATACGTACTGTATCTATATATGTATCTATGCATCTATCATGCATCCATCACTCTATCACTAGCTATAATTCACTCTATTTATGGCCCATGTGATTGGATCCAAACATTGTATTGAGGCACACTCATCTGCATCCGTCGCTGATATTATTAATGTCCCCCCGAAGGAGACCATAGCCGAGGTGATGAGATGAGATGAGATGAAATGAGACGATACACTTTATTGATCCCCAAGGGGAAAGTACATCTGTCAGAGGCGGGAGGCAACAAAAATGAAATGAAGCAGACACATCGTTGGGGCATAGCCAAAATAAAATAGAAAAGGTCTGCACAAATCGAGAGGCCACATGAAAAGTTACAATGTTAGGTATACCTGCATAATATGACAACTTTATAGTATCACTGTATCAGAATACGAAAACTACAATATTTGTATGGATAACGACGTAACACCATCATTCATTTAATTTAACAACATGTTTATTATTTAGCGATATGTGGCTTTTACATTCAACATTTTAAAACACCTCTCAGAATGATGCACTTGTAAACTGTGGCAAGCTAAAACCATAAATAAACACATTCTAATAATTAACACCTGAATCATAACTAAGCATTATTATATGCAGCACTAGTGGTGGATTGTGCACATACTTAAGAAGGTGGCCAGTGGACATATACTTATGTGCATCTGAATTAAAGAAGGCCAGAGGGGGGAAAAACATGACTATAAAATGTAACCATTCATGGTATAAATACCATGTCAAAGAAAAACAGCAGTGTAATGTCCAATTTATTTTTATATATGTATGTTTTGTTGATGTCATAAAATGAAGTACCTGATACAAACCTTGCTTTTCCTATAACATAATACATTACTTCAACACAGCCCACTGTATATTCATATCGATGTATTTGTATCTACATATATTTTATGTTCTGTGTATGGCAAAGTATATGAATGTGTATTCACCGTCCAGCCACAACATTATGACCGCTCGCACAATATAATGAGATCCAATGCCAGAGCTCCATCAAATAATCCAAATATTGTACACCGCATTCAAAATTATTATACATTTATAGCAAGTAAGTCAAAATAAACATTAGAATTTTTGTTTTTCTGCATGCATTTTTTTCAGACAGGAGAAATTTCTCCTGTCTTTATAAATGTCTAAATATCCATCTCGGACATGTTGAATGAATTGTGATAGAGAAAACAAAATAAATTGCTTGAATAATGATTTTCACCATCTTCTTTCCCGCTGCAATTTGGACACGTTAAGGGTCAGTTGAAAGAAATGTTTCAAAAGAGCAAATGCTTAAAAGGTAGACAGAAGGCTGGCTTGACTTTACATTTCAGCAGGTAAGTTGATTCAAAAATAGACAACATTGAAATTTGCACATAGTTAACATGATCATTGCCTAATGAATTGACTTTACTGTTGCTCGAATTAATGCTCCTTTGATGCTGAAATGGATGGTGCGCTGTAGAGCTGACATTAGCAAGTGGGGAAGCCATTTTTTTCCCTAACTTACTTACTCAAAGACAATCCAATCAAAGATTTTATACATATCTGTGAGAAAACACCTTCCACAAACTCGATGATAGAGATATTATATTTATACCTCTGGCATAACATGAAATAGTGACGTGAGCTGGACTGTTTTCTCGCTGTGACCTTCCTTAGCTAGTT